ATCAGCAGATTTGAAGGTGTGAAGATGTAGATCAGCAGATGTGAGGGTGTGAAGATGTAGATCAGCAGATGTGAAGGTGTGAAGATGTAGATCAGCAGATGTGAAGGTGTGAAGATGTAGATCAGCAGATGTGAAGGGGTGAAGATGTAGATCAGCAGATGTGAAGGTGTGAAGATGTAGATCAGCAGATGTGAAGGTGTGAAGATGTAGATCAGCAAATGTGAGGGTGTGAAGATGTATATCAGCAGATGTGAAGGTGTGAAGATGTAGATCAGCAGATGTGAAGGTGTGAAGATGTAGATCAGCAGATGTGAGGGTGTGAAGATGTGTAGATCGCAGATGTGAGGGTGGGAAGATGGGAGCATGTCAGAAGAGGGGAGGGGTGTTTGTAAGAGGTAGATCTGCAGATGGGAGGTGGGTGTGAGATGTAGACAGCAAAGTTGAGGGTAGTTGAAGAGAGTGTTGTAGATCTGCAGATGTGAGGATGTGAAGATGTAGATCAGCAGATGTGAGGGTGTGAAGATGTAGATCTGCAGATGTGAAGGTGTGAAGATGTAGATCTGCAGATGTGAAGGTGTGAAGATGTAGATCTGCAGATGTGAGGGTGTGAAGATGTAGATCAGCAAATGTGAAGGTGTGAAGATGTAGATCAGCAGATGTGAGGGAGGGTGTGAAGATGTATTACAACGGCTGCTTTTTTACGAAGAACCCTTCGCAGGCGCTCTCGGGAATAACATGATTTTTCTTATCACCTCCAGGCAAACCAGTTGTCTGATAGATCGCGCAGAATGCTTTTTCAGCTCTTTTCCGTCAACCTGCATGTTGGTCTTTGCCAACGTCACCGGTGGCCCTCAACCTGAGCGGGAAATTGCAACCATGCCGAATCGTGGTTTCCAAGATTTTCCAAGTTGTCAGCCGACACAGTCAACATTATGACATAGATGTCAACATTAGGTGTGAAAGCGGCACGCCAAGCGAACCACCCCTGAGGCCCTGAGGTCCCGCGCCTTGGTTCGCCATCAGCCTGCAGTGTCGCTTGCGTCGCTTGCGTCAGTGGCCTTGCTGGATCTGGAGCCCGTGGATGCGATGCCTCTGGCACGGTGCAGGGTGTTGATTTCGTGTTGATAGGGATTGGTTGAAATTGTTGAAAACAATTCGATAACAACTCGGTAACAAGGCTAGTAGTGCGTTGTCAAGAGCTAACTAAGTTTCCGAGTGGCAAAGATTCAGCATGCCAAAACAGCAAGACATGGCAACCCTCGCATGCACTGAATCTGAAACACTGTGAAAGTCTAGTTCGAAAAGCTGCCAATGTTCGATGCGTGGTGTCTGATGGTATCGGAGATTCTTCCATCGCGGCCCCACCAGCTGCACTGGAGTAGCTCGGAAGAGCAGGAGTGTCGTCAAAGCGGACCTGCTGCCCTTCCCGTTTCCTGAGTGCCAAAGAATCTCCAGAGGAAGATTCCAACAAAAATCTTTTTATTGATTATTGATCTGTGAAAATGGACCACCAGTCTCCTCTTTCTCAAGACTGCCGATCTGCCACCTGAGGATTGGGCGGCCTGGCTGCAAGCGCACGCCGTTCAATATCGGCGGCAAAAACTGATGTCAAATCCTCAATATTTTTGACCTGAGTTGATGACCCTTCAAAAACAAAAGTTGCTTGTGGATTGGGTCCCCACCAGTAACTGACCTCAACCGACACCAACTTGGGGACTTGTTGAACTTTTGCATTTTACATCCCTCGTGCTGAAGAGCCTAGCACTCGTGCTGCCCAAACACCATGGTGCTGGTGAAGTCTTCAAGTCCCTGACAGTTTCAGGAAGGACAGATCAACTGCAAAAATCGGAACATTGCTCCCGTCGCTCATCAAACCCGTTGAGTCGTGCCTGGTTGAGTTTTTCCCCACATCACTGTGTGGGGTTCTTGTTTTTCGCTTGCATCCCGCCGGGGCTTCCGCCTCCGCCCCGCCCCGCCGCCTCGCCCTCCGCCGCCTCTTGTTCACTCACTCAGCACTCATTCGCTCACTCACTCACACTTCTCACTCACTCACTCACTCTCACTCACTCTCACTCATTCACTCACTCCTCACTCACTCACTCACTCACTCACACACACACTCACTCTCACACTCACTCACTCACTCACTCACTCACTCACTCACTCACTCACTCACTCTCACACTCACACTCACTCACTCTCTCTCACTCTCTCACTCTCTCACTCACTCACTCACTCAGTCGCGCAATACAGAGAGCTTCCTGGCTGCCTTTCGTGTGGCAGGCGCAATACACAGAGCCTGGAGGAGCTGCGGC